ACTGTACTATGGTTATGTAAGAGTGCCCCTTAGTAAGGGGCAAAAGGCACACAATCCATGTGCAATACACCCACAAGTGGTTCAGACATGATGTCAGTGTGTTTTCTCTTTCCATGCATGTCATATGTAGGTATGTAGGTATGACATATAATCTGTGCATGTATTTACATATGTATGCACATCATATATATTTGTATGTTTCTCTGTATATATGACTCTTAAAGGTTCTACTACCTCAACATTATCACATCAGGGATGAAGCTTCTCACACTGAATCTCTGGAAGAAACACCCAATCACATCTAAACCACAGCAGCATGTCTTGCAACCACAACTCCTTACCTGATGGTGTTGATGGTGTTGGTGGTGGAGTCTGTGAGGGTTAATGTTTATGTATTGACTTGGCTGAACTAAGGGATGCCAAGATAGCCAGGATACTTTTATTTCTGGGTATGTCTGGGAGAGTGTTTCTGGATTAGATTAGTATTTGTATCAGTAGACTGAGGAAAGGAGATCTGTCCTCACCAATGTGGGTGGGCACCATCCAACCATTGAGGGCTACATAGAACAAAAAGATGAAGAAAGGGAAAATTCTCTCTCTCTCTCTCTCTCAGCTGAGACATCCATCTTCTCTTGTCCTCAGTCATTAGAGCTCCTTATTCTCAGGCCTTCAGACTTGGACTGAATTATACCACCTGCTTTACTGACTCTGAAGCTTGCAGATGGCAGATGGTGGGCCTTCTTGGGCCCCATAATTATATGGTACTTTGGTTCAGATGAGTGTTCCCCAAAGGTCTATAGATAAAGATCTTATCCCCATGATGATGGTAATGGCTGTCCCTGTGGACCTTTAAGAGGTAGAATCAGGAGACTGTGAGTGCTGCTCAATGGTAGAACACTCACTTGGCATGTGCAAGATTCTAATTTCCATCCCCAGCACCCCAAACAACAATAACAGTAGTATTTATTATATCGTAGTTTCTATGGGTCAGGACTTTGGGATTGGCTTAGATGAGTGGTTCTGGCTTGAGGTCTCATGTGACTACTGATGGATGTCATGTGAGACTGTGGTCATTCATACGTTTGGTGTTGGAGGACTACTTCCCAAACTGCTCACTCACGTGACTGACAAGTTGTTGGTTGTTGGGTGTGACCCTCAGTCTCCTCCTTGCATAGGTCCCTCCAAAGGACTGCTTGAGCATCCTCACAAAATGGTGGCTGCCTCTCTCCAGAGCAAGTAATCCAAGCAAGATCAAGATAGAAGTCATAGGTTTTTTCCCCGGCCTAACTTCAGAAGTCACATGTCCCAGTGGTGGTGCATGTCTGTAGTCCCAGTGGCTCAGGAGGCTCAGGCAGGAGGATCATAAGTTCAAAGCCAGCCTCAGAAACTTCCTGAGGCCTTAAACATCTTAGCAAGACTGTGTCTCAAAATAAAACATAAAAAGGGCTGAGGACTTGGCTCAGGGGTTGAGTGCCCCTGGGTTCAATCCCTGGTACCAAGCCAAAAAAAAAAAAAAAAAAAGTCATACATCCCATGTTTTTTTTCTTTATATATAAATATATTTAAACGTCCCATCATTTCTGCAGTAGCCTATTGGTTATAATACAGAAGGAACTCCATGAGGTTGCACATATCAGGAAATGGGAACGATTTTTATTATTAAAGGCAGAAGGACAGGTTGTCTGCTAAGAATACAGCTGTCTTGGGGCTGGGCTTGTGGCTCAGCGGTAGATCGCTCGCCTAGCACTGGCGGGACCCAGGTTCGATCCTCAGCGCCACATAAAAAAATAAATAAATAAAGGCATTGTGTTGTGTCCATCTACACCCAAAAAATAAATATTAAAAAAATATAAAAAGGGGCTGGGGATGTGGCTCAAGCGGTAGCACTCGCCTGGCATGCGTGCGGCCCGTGTTCGATCCTCAGCACCACATACAAACAAAGATGTTGTGTCCTCCAAGAACTAACTAAATAAATAAATATTAAAAAAAAAAAAATATATATATATATATATAAAGAATACAGCTGTCTGTCAGGCTGGTTTCAAATCTTACCTGTGTCTAGATAATTGTGTGGACTTGGATAAATGTGCAATCTTTCTTGTTATCTATAAAATAGAATAATTAGATTATGTGCTTCAAATAGAATTGTTACAATAGAATAATTAGAATATGTGCTTCAAACAGAGTTGTTACTGGGATTAAATGAATATGGCAACACTAAAGAACAATATGTGGGGGATATTAAGTGTTCAGAAGATGTTTGCTGCTGCTTTTATTTTTATTGTTTTTAATATATTTATTTTTTAGTTGTAGTTGGACACAATACCTTTATTTTATTTATTTATTTTTATGTGGTGCTGAGGATTGAACCCAGGGCCTCGCACGTGCTAGGCGAGGGCTCTACACTGAGCCTCAACCCCAGCCTTTGCTGCTGCTTTTAGTCTAAGCAGCTCCTCAGGGTGATTGATAGATCAACTTCTCTCCTCCCATCCACCCACTAGAAGTCCCTAAGACTAGAGTTGGAAGGGCACTGTTCAAGAGACCACATCCTACCCAGGCTGAAATCTCCCAAAAGCAGAGGGTTGTCTCCTTCATTCAGCTGGGCACCACCTGGTAACAAGAATCACCTCCCTTGCTTTATTTTCTGATGACAGATTCAGTTCCCAGCCCACCTTTCTCAACCATTTACTTTTGCCAGAGTAGCTTGGGGTCAAGACTGGGGAGTAGGGGCTGGGGCTGTAGCTCAGTGGCAGAGTGCTTGCCTAGCATGTACAAGGCACTGGGTTTGATCCTTAACACCATATACAAATAAAATAAAATAAAGGCATAAAGGCATTCTGTCCATCTACAACTACAAAAAATTAAAAAAAAAAAAAGATTGGGTCTGGGGATGTGGCTCAAGCGGTAGCGCGCTCGCCTGGCATGCGTGCGGCCTGGGTTCGATCCTCAGCACCACATACAAACAAAGATGTTGTGTCCGCCAAAAAATAAATATTAAAAAAAATTCTCTCTCTCTCTCTTAAAAAAAAAAATCTCACTCATTCCAGAAAAGCTGGTGCTTGGAAATTGGTTTCTTTAAAAAAAAAAAAAAAGATTGGGGAGTAAGACTGAGTGCAGTGGTGCACACCTGCAATCCTAGTAGCTTGGGAAGCTGAGGCAGGAGCATTGTGAGTTCAAAGCCAGCCTCAGCAACTTAGTGAGATCCTGTCTCTAAATAATACATTTAAAAGGGCTGAGCATGTGGTTCAGTGGTTAAGAGTCCTGGATTCAATCTCTGGTACAAAACAAAAAGCCTGGGGAGTAGAGGACAGGCTCATCACACCAACACAGCCCCAGCATAGTGCCTGGCACACATCAGATGCTTAAGGAACCATCAGTCAGGGTGACTGTGTTATGGCTGAGTCAGAGAGCACATTCCACGCAGCAGATTTTAGGATAAAATTCAGGGCCAGCTTTGGTCCCCAGGCGGATCATAGTCTTAAAAGTTTACTCCTAGCAGGTGCCGCCAGTGGCCTTCTGCAAGTCTGGTTTGTTCTAAGACACAACACTGAAGTTCCTGAGAAGCAAATCACAAAGCCCATGAGGTTAGAAAATAACTGATCATCTTCCTTGATGCAAGAAGCTGAGAAAGAGGATACTGCGGTTGGAGATTCCCTGGGATAGCTATGTTCACCACTCAGATGCTGGAAGTAGGGGTGGACAGGCCAGATGGTGGCCAGCTGAAACTATCCTTGCTGCGGTTTTCCTCCCTGCCTGCCCTTCCCGTTTGTCTGTCACTGCTGGGATCAGCCAGGCTGGCATGTGGCCCAACCAGGCCAAGTGCATGAGTGGTGGCCTGCACGTCAGCCCTGGAGTGTGCAGTTTCAGATTCCAGAGGCCAGGGCTGCTGGCTCCCAGCCATGCTGAGTCAACTCCATTCTTTATTATTATCATTTTTTTTTTCTGAGTAATCGGCCTAGTGGTTCTTCCTGGCAGGAGGGTTTTCTGTGCCAGGCTAACCTTCCTGGCAGGGTATAGGGGAGTTGGTGGGGAATGGGTAGGTGACTTTTTTTTTTTTTTTATTGAATGAAAACTTAGCCTTGTGCCATGAACAGGGTCCACGGGTTTGCTTGGATCTTCCTCTGTCCCTCCCTCAGGCTCAGAGTGTTGGGGTTTCTCCTCCAGCCAGGGAACTCCATATAGGGTCTGGGCTGAGCTCCTCTTTGTTGAATGAATGAATGAATGAATGAACGAACGAATGAATGAAGGAACAAAGACAAAGGGTGGAAGGGAGGCCTTCCTTCCATGTGCCCTGGGTTCCTGCCTTCACACGAGCAAAGCCCTGGCAATGGAGGGTGGGCAACAGGAGGGGAGGCTCTGAGCAATACAGGCCCAAACCCTGCCACTAGGGCGCTGGCAATTGGGATGGGGCAGGAGGTCCGGACAAGACAGAATCTCCTAAATCTACCCGCAATGACGAACCCTTGTGCGGGAAGGGGCGTGGGAGGCCTCAGACAACCCTGGGAGCCAGGAGCCCCAGTCTGGTCTTGGAATTGGAGATCATAGGAAGCCTCTGAGACCAGGAGGTTGAGGTGTCCCGGGCTCCCCGCCCACCCCTTGGAACTCTGCGCACCAGGGAGGGACCTTCCTCGCACGCAGTACTCACTACCCTCTTCCCCAACTTCTGCCTCGCAAAGGGGTTCAGGAATGTCCCGGCAGATGCGATCTGCCTTTCCCCCCACTGAACACAGCGGGGGCAGCATGGGGGTCTTAGAGGAAGCGCCAGTCACGTCTCCCACGGTTCACAGAGGAAGGCCAACCAGAGCCTGGCGCAGGGCGAGGGGAGCCAGAATTTCGCGCCCCAGAAGGCTCCCCACCCCCTATAACCACCACACACAGGACCCCACCCTAGGCCGCTCGCCCCGCCCCCAGCACTCCCCGCGCCCCGCCCCCGAGGTTCCCCCTCCCACTCCCGCACCCGGTTTATAAAAGAGGGCGTTGGGCGCTGCGAGGTCAAGCCGAGCCTAGCGGACCTGAGGCCGAGATCCATTCCTTCCCGCTGCCTTCGGCACCCCAGCGAGTCTCCGCCAGGTTCTCCACGTCTCCAGCCCTAGCATTTCGAGCCACTGCGTCCCTGCACCGAGTCCCTGCGTCCCCACATCCAGGCCGACCAAGAACATGCGCTGCGTTCCGACGGCAGGCGCAGCCCTGATGCTGTGCGCCGCCACCGCCGGGCTGCTGAGCGCTCAGGGCCGCCCCGCGCCGCCCGAGCCGCCCCGCTTCGCGTCCTGGGACGAGATGAACGTGCTGGCCCACGGGCTGCTGCAGCTCGGCCACGGGCTGCGAGAACACGTGGAGCGCACCCGTGGACAGCTGGGCGCGCTGGAGCAGCGCCTGGCCGCCTGCGGGGCTGCTTGCCAGGGGTCTGAGGCGTCCTCCAAGCCCTCAAAAGCCCCCGAGAGCGTGGTTCCTGGTGGTGAGGCGATCCCCGAAACCCGGGTTCCCGGGGGCGAGGCGGTCCCCGAGACCCTCCGCAGCTTGCAGGTATGCGTGCCTGCTAACGCTGGCTCTTGGGCACTCTTGCCAACTCCCTTTCTGGTCTGGAATTGTGTGGGTGGGAAGGGAGAACACAGCCGAGGCTCACTGGGTACCATGCCGGGGGTTCAAAGCATGGACATTTGGAAGGATGGGTGGGTGGATGAAAAGGGAGGTTGGAGATATAGGACCGGTCCTCACCAAAATTTGCACCCTTCCCCAGACGCAGCTCAAGGCTCAGAACAGCAGGATCGAACAACTGTTCCAGAAGGTGGCCCAGCAACAGCGACACCTGGAGAAGCAGCACCTGAGAATCCAGAATCTGCAGAGCCAGGTACCCTAAGCCTGACCCAGGTGGGGAGAGAGGTCAAAGCTGGACCCAAAGGTCCCATCATGGAGCCAGGCAGGTAAGGCAGCCGAATGAGTCAACCCACCTGACACCCTCCCCCTTCTCCTGTCCTGTCCCAGGTTGGCCTCCTGACTCCCCCACACCTTGACAATGGAGTGACCAAGCCTGCCAAAAGAAAGAGGCTACCCAAGATGGCCCCACTTGGCCTGGAACACAATACCACCCGCCTTCACAGTGAGTGTCTGGACCTCTGCTGTCCTCCGGCACTTCCCTGCCCCTCCATTTGCCATTCCTGTTCCCAGCCCCTTGGTCAGATTCACTGTAATAAGGAGAGAGGTTCTGGTCTTGGGTCCCAGCTCCTGAAGCTGACGGCAGCACCTCCTTCCTCAGCCCTGACCTGTGCAGGCAGACCACTGCACCCATCTTCTCAGCAAGCCAGAGGGCTTTTTTTGAAATCCTGCTGGCCACCAACTGGAGCCAGGGTTGGAAGAGATACCACAAGGAACTTAAGCTTCAGGGGTGTTGGGAGATGGTAGTATCCCTCAGGGACACCATCCTGAGGGGGAGGACTTTATGGGAGGGTATGATAGACGGGAGGTACCAGGTGGGGGTTTCTGAGGTTTGGCACTCCAAGAACTCCTGTGGCATGAATCTAGAAGGGAAACTGTGGCAGGGCCCCCAGCTCCCAGGCCACACACTGACTCTTTTTTAAAAAAAATATTTATTCTTAAGTTTTAGGTGGACACAATATCTTTATTTTACATTTATGTGGTGCTAAGGATCAACCCAGTGCCTTGTGCATACTGGGCGAGCACTCCACCTCTGAGCCACAACCCCAGCCCCCACACACTGACTCTTGCCACTTCTGTCCTCAAAGTCCCCATTGAACCTACACACACACACACACTCACACACACACACACACACACACACCAGGCTTTTCCTGCCATCACAGGTTTTAGGTCTTTCATTGTGTATGTCCCAAGTTCCCCCCAATCTCAAATAACAACATGTGTGTGTGTGTGTGTGTGACACAGGCTCCCAGTTCCCACTCTTAAGTTCACAGCCATGCTGTCACCCTGCCCAGCATCTGTGACCGTCTACAGCCAACTGGGTGAAAGTGTGGATCCCTTGCTTCACACCCAGCCCTGCAGTCTTGAGGGCTCCCTTGCTCCCCAGACTCCTTCCCTCTTCTCCACAGAGGGCTGGCGTCTCAGCATGGTGAGGGTCCCAGGGAGCCCTCCCAAGCCGTCATCTTAGATGAGGAGTTTCTGAGGCCAGCAGGCACAGGCCCAGACAGGGAGATGTGTGGAAGAGAAGGGGGGTGTGCGGGGTGGTTTAGGACTCCCAGACTCAGCCTGGCCAAGTCGGGGAAAGTTCAGAGCTCTGAGAGACAAACAGCTGGAGCTAATGGAGACCACATTGGTGGCTTGGCTTCATGCCTGTCCTGATTGGATGAGAGGAAAGTAGGGGAAAGGGGAGCTGCCTGAGGGGCCGGGAAGTGTCCTTCTGGGCCTGCCCCTCTGCTGCTGCGGTGTGGACACACTGGCTGAGAATCCTGGCCCTGCCCCTCCCCCTGGTGACCTTTCCTCTACTTTCCAGGCCGATCTGGGTTGGGCTGGGGGCCGTCCTTCCCCAGTCTCCATGACCCAAGGCCAGGTTCCTTCTCTCCCCCTTTCTTCTTCCTCCTTCTCTCCCCCTTTCTTCTTCCTCCTTCTCTCCCCCTTTCTTCCTTCCTCCTTCTCTCCTCTATCCTGAGCCCTCTCCCCCTCAGAGCTGGGACCCTGGGCAAAGTCTCTGTCCCCAAGCCTCATCCAGCTGTGATCAGTGTTCCCTGGTATGAGCAGAGAGCCCTTTTGCTCAGCTCACCCGGGCGGTTGCTTCCTACCCCATCAAACTCCTGCCATCATTCATGCATCAACTCTTCACTGAGTACGGGCTGCAAGCTAAGCTCAGGGTAGAGCCAGGTGCCTATGGTCAGAGCTGCCCCTTATCCCTGGCCTCCTGGAGCCCCCACTCAGTAGGAGGAGTGGGGAGCCACCACCAGATGACCCTAATGTGGGGGAGCAGGAAGCCTTCATGTTCATTTTGGGAGGTCAAGTCTGGTCTAGGGGTGAGGGAAGGCATTCTTCTGGAAACCGGGACCCACAGCGGTTACTGAGGGAAGAGAGACAGAGGGACCAGCATGTGCAAAGTCCTTGTGGTAGGGGGATATGTGATACAAGGAAGGTGGTGGGGAACAGGAAAGAAGCTGATTTGGCCAGGAAGGGTGGAGGTGCAGCGTTGAGAGGAAGGAATGTGGGTACAAAGGCTGCTCCTGAAGGTGCCTTATAGATTACACTGAGAAGGCCATAGGGAGCCATGGAAGAGTTTAGGCAGATGTAGGAAAGGGTCATGAGATCAGGGTTGCATCTCACCTACTCATCACCCACATACAGCTTGCCTCCTGAGGCCTCAGGGGCGTCTCTGCTGCTTCACCTCCTCTCTCTGTTTGCCCTCAGGACTGCCCCGGGACTGCCAGGAGCTCTTTGAAGCTGGTGAGAGACAAAGTGGACTGTTCCAGATCCAGCCTCAAGGGTCCCCACCTTTCCTGGTCAACTGCAAAATGACCTCAGGTAGGATGTACTGACCTTCCAGGGAACCCTCTTGCCATTCACGGGCCCTAGTGTCTTTCTCGAAAACGCAGCCCTGTGTATCTCAGGGTAGAGCATATGCTCAGCGCCCATAAAGCCTGGGGTTCCATCTCCAGCACCAGAAACACAATAATGAAAACAAGCCCTTTCCCCATTGCCGTCCATCGCAAGCTCACAGATAGGTTCCTGGGGTTACCACCTGTAGCCTAGCAGGGAACGGTAGGGCAAGACTACAATTCCAGCTACTTGAGAGGCTGAAGCAGAAGGATCCCAAGTTTGAGACCAGCCTCAGCAATTCAGCAAGTCCCTGTCTTAAAAAGGTTCAATCCTGAGTAAAACACACACAGACACACAGATACACATACACACACACACACACAGATAGATACCTGAGATCTAGCACGAGCCCTTGCCTGGTGGCCCATAGTAGTCATCCCTCTGCCTCACCTTCCTCCAGTCCTCCTGGGAACAGTGAGGGGAATGTGACTCTCCTGGGTTTGGGGGTCTCAGGGTTGGTTGCCAGGGTCCCCTATGAGGAGGAGCCTTCTGGTGACCTGTGCCTCTCTGGGTAGATGGAGGCTGGACAGTGATTCAGAGGCGCCAGGATGGCTCTGTGGACTTCAATCGGCCCTGGGAAGCCTACAAGACAGGCTTCGGGGATCCCCAAGGTGGGTGTTTCCAGCAGGACCAGAGGCAGGGGAGGAGGAGGGTCCCATGGAGGTGGGCCCATCTCACCAGGCAGCCCCTCCCGCTGTAGGCGAGTTCTGGCTGGGCCTGGAGAAGATGCACAGTATCACAGGGGACCGTGGCAGCCGCCTGGCTGTGCAGCTCAAGGACTGGGAGGGCAACGCCGAATCGCTGCAGTTTCCTGTCCACCTGGGAGGTGAGGACACAGCCTACAGCCTGCAGCTCACGGAGCCGGTGGCCAGCGAGCTGGGTGCCACCACCATCACGCCCAGTGGACTCTCTCTGCCCTTCTCCACGTGGGACCAGGACCATGACCTTCGCGGGGACCTGAACTGTGCCAAGAGCCTCTCTGGTGAGCAGCTTTGCCCCTACCCTGACCAGCCAGCCTTCAGCCCCCAAATGCATCTGTTTCCTTCCCCCACTTTCTCCTTACTTGCTGTGTGCGCTTGGGCTGCTTGCTGCTGTAACTTCTCCAACCTGTTTCCCCATCTTTAAAATGGTGCTCAGTCCCTAGGATCGTTAGGAAAATCCAGTGAGACGTTAGTGGGAGGGGGGCTGGCATGGAGCAGAACCACCCAGATCACCCTTGCTTTGTGTTTTTGAAATCAGAGACAGAGCTTGGGTTTTGTGAAGTAAAACAGGGGATCACCTTCTGATGGGTCAAAAAAAAAAAAGATGGAATGTTGATCATTTCATATGGTTCAAGCTAACACAAATTAATGCAATGTATGCTGGTCATAGAAAGTAAAAAATATTAGCCATGTGCCAGGAATACACAAATAACTGGCTGTGGTCACAGACTATGAAAGCAGATCAACTGCGATTATGGGTAGGGGATGCCCAGGGCCCCTGAGATTGCTTTTGTCATAACCTTGGGTATCTTGGAACACCATTTGACAATTACTGTCAGACCCTTCCCATTTAAAATGTGAACAGTCTGAGGCCCAGTCTCACCCCCTACCCCATCCTCATCTCCATCTCCATGTGGAGACCCAAGGACTTGACCACGTCCCCTCTCCTCTGCCCTCCTCAGGTGGCTGGTGGTTTGGCACCTGTGGCCACTCCAACCTCAATGGCCAGTACTTCCGCTCCATCCCACGGCAACGGCAGCAGCGTAAGAAGGGAATCTTCTGGAAGACTTGGCGAGGCCGCTACTACCCGCTGCAGGCTACCACTATGCTGATCCAGCCCACAGAGGCTGTAGCAGCTTCCTAGCCACCTTGCAAGGGCCTGGTCCCAGGCTCTAGAGGACAGTGACTTTGGCTCTGGCCCAAGGATATGGTACTCTCTGCCTGAGCAGGAGCTCTAAGCAGGGGCCACTGGAGCTTCTTGAACAGAGATGAAGCCCATGACTGGAGAGGCCCCTTCCTGAGTGGGGACCACACGTTGCCCTCTGAAATAGAGCTGCAGGGCACACACAGACCCTGGAAACCTGGGTAGAGGGGCATTGAGTCCCATTTCTCGCCCGCCCGAGGAGTGGGGGACACAGAGGGACCACTTGGGGCTGGCCAGGCCAGCCCTTGATGGCGGACTCAGTCACATTGACTGGTGGGGTTCAGGGCTCCCTGGGGCCCTGGATGCCCTCATGGTGCTGTTGTGTGTGGGTGCTGTGGCATGAGCTGGCACCAGTGATGGTGTCTGGGTGGAGTCCACAGAATTCTTGGAATAAAAGCAACATTAGAACATTTGGTTCTTCTTTGTCCTTTGGTTTGTTTTAAAAAACCAACAGTTTCAAAGTCCACATCAACATGTTCCTAAGGTGGAGAACATGCTTTCAGGTCCCCTAAGGTCGGCACTGGTTTTTCCTCCCTCCTCCGACAAGTGAGCTCAGCTTCGTCCACTCGGTATTTCATCCTGTGGATCTCCCTTGTTTTTATCTTAAAAACTATAAAACAAATCCCTCATAATAGAGAAAAGGAGAATCCTTCCTGCTCATACTTAAGCATATGAATCATGACTAATTTTTTAATATCTTGTTAGTAGATAGAAATACAACGCATGACAACATATAGACAAAAAGTACAATGTGTGCTGCAAGTTTAACTTTATTTTTTCTAATAGCCATGTTTTAAAAAAGTTTAAAAGAGCCAGGCATGATGGGGCACACCTGTAATGCCAAAGGCTCAGGAGGCTGAGGCAGGAGAATCGCCAGTTCAAAACCAGCCTCAGCAACTTGGTGACACCCTGTGTAACTTAGCAAAATAAAAAATAAAAAGAAGGGCTGGGGATGTGGCTTAGTGGTTAAGCACAGGGTTCAATCCCTGGTACAAAAGAAAAATATATATATGTGTGTGTGTGTGTATGTATGCACATGTATTTTTATAGTAAATATAAATGTTTATATATAAACATATATTTAATATATATATATATATATATATATATACACACACACACACACACATACATACACATACATATATATGAAGTAGAGCATGGTGGCACATACCTGTAATCCCAGTGACTTCACAGTCTGAGGAAGAAAGATTACAGGTTCAAGACTCACCTTAGTAATTAGGTGAAAGCCTGTCACAGAAACAAACAAACAAAAAAAGGGCTAGGGATGTGGCTCAAGCGGTAGCGCGTTCACCTGGCATGCGCAGGGCGCTGGATTCGATCCTCAGCACTACCTACAAATAAAAAATAAAGATGTTGTGTCCACCGAAAACTAAAAAAATAAATATTAAAAAAAATTCTCTCTCTCTCTCTCTCTCTCTCTCTCTCTAACACACACACACACACACACACACACACAAGCAGGTACATTTTAGAAATATCTTATTTGGGTTGGGAATGTGGCTCAGTGGTAGAGCACGAGTTCAGCATGTGTGAAACCCGTGGTTTGATCCCAGCACCACTAAGGGAAGGGGAAAAAAAAGAAAGTGAAAAATATTTTATTGAATCCGTCCTATTCAAAATATTATTAATTGGCATCTAATCAAAATTAAGATTATTACTGAGATATTTGGCTTTTTGTGTTTGATAAGTCACAGGAAACTGTTGGTGTTTTACACTTTGGGCACATCTCAATGTGGACCAGCCGGGTTTCAATAGCTCAGTAGTCACTGTCCACGGCTGGTGGCTGCCACATTGGATAGCACAGCTGTCATGTAAACACTAATACAGGATTTGTGGCCAATTACTCACACTAATAACCTATTCTGGAATTTACTTCAAGTTTTCCTTAAATTTATTTATTTATTTCTGTTTTTGGAAAATATAAATTCAATCAATATTTATTGTGCAGCTACTACATGCCAAGCCCTATGACAGGTATCTGTGATACTCTAGTGAACAAAAAGATCTCTGCCCTCCCTGAGTTGCCCTTTTCAGCCTCTCCCATTACAGATACGGTGACCTAGAACTGATGGTCCAAACTGGGACACTTTCAAGAGTGAAACTGGTTGCTGTTAATAATTAATCTGGACAAGAGATGTCAAACAGCTCACTCCCAGACATCAAAACTTACCAACCCAGTTTTTAAGAATGTAATCATATCTCTACCACTGGAAAATGATCTGCCATAAATAGGTTAGTAAAACTAAGGTTGATGACAATCAAACATGCCCAAGCTTTAAAATTCCAGCTTGCAGCCTGGTGTGTGGCTTAATAGGAGACTGATTGCTGTGCATTCTCCAGACCCTGGGTTCCATCTCCAGCACACCCAAAACCAACCAACCAACCATGAACTCTGAAAAGAGCTACAAGTAAGTACTGAGCTCTCATCAATGACATGTATGCTGACATTTTAGAGGTGAAATGGATCCATGTCTTCAACTTTCCTTTAAACGTTTCAAAAATAAGATGATGGGGTCTGGGAATATAGAACTTAGGTTGTATGCTTACATGTGCAAGGCCCTGGGTTCCATCCCCAACACCAGAAAAAAAGAAAAGATGACAGAAGGGTGGGTGAAAAGGTGGGAGAGATCAAGCAAAATGTTAATGATGGAATTTTTTTGTAAAATTCTTCCCATTTGGGCTGGGATTGTGGCTCAGCGGTAGAGCGCTAACTTTCTTCAGCACAACATAAAAATAAAGGCATTGTGTTGTGTCCATCTACATCTAAAAAATAAATATTTAAAAAAAATTCTTCCCATTTTCCTGAATGTTTAAATTTTTTCATAATAAAATGGGGGAGGATTCTTAGGTCCTGTTCTCTGCTTTTTTTTTTTTTTTGTACTTAGGATTGAACCTAAGGACACTTTAACATGTCTCAAGCTCTTTTAATTTTTGAGACAGGGTCTCACTAGGTTGCCTTGGCTGACCTCAACCCTGTGATCCCCCTCCCTCAATTTTCCAAGCATGAGCCACTGAGCAGAGATCCCTATTGCCTTCTCAAGGCAATGCACACTATATTAACTATGTAAGGTAATGGGTAGGTAAATTTGCTTAACTATAGTAATAGTTTGATATTAGCATTCTTGTACATCTTAAATATATAAAACAAAAATAAGCATACACTTTAATATTAGATAGTGATAAATCCTGTAGGGGTTAAAATAAAACAGGGTAAGGAGGCAGAAAGGGAGAGGAAATTATGTTGGAAAGCGCCTGGCACCCAGCAGGGATTTATTATTTATTTACTCACTGCGGTGCTGGGGATGGAACCCAGGGCCTTGCCCATGCTAAGCAAGCGCTCCACCACGGAGCTACAGCCCCAGTCCCTAAATAAACTTGCTTAACAAAGATTTTATGGCAGAAGGACGGTTGATTCAGTATGAAAGGAATGATCCACATATTCTCAAAAAATATTCCATGAGGCCTTCTTCATTGTTTGCAGAGGCTGAAACTCAGAACAGACAGGTAAAGTCAGAAGTCCTCAGGGTAAGGATGGAAACTGCAAACGAGAGGAGACACCCGCCCACCTCTGCCCAGAGGGTCCCCGGAAATGGTCATTAATGGGCTGGGGGGAGGCCAAAACCGCTAGCCCTGACCTATGACGTCATCGGGACGTTAAGCAGCGTAAAATCACCTGGACGTAGCCACATTTCCCTTCCCGGACAAGTCCTCTGGTTGTAGGGTAGGGTCTGAATCAAGCCTCTCATTGGCTATCCACTCCGTCAATCCGACTCATTCTTCCAGTCTTCCGTCCCACCTTTCCGAGGCTGCCTCTGATAGGCTGTTCCGGCAGTCAATTTACAAAGATCCGCATTCCTTCCGCCTTTCTCCAGGAGACCGAGGGCGAGGAGGGTGGATCCCAGGAGGCACCCACCCACGGGGTTCTACTTCCACCTATGATTGGTTGTACTGAGTGCCGGTCGCTACTACTTCCGCTGTTGATTGGTCATCAGACCGCCGCTCTGCGCGGCGCCGGCTCCGCCCCCGTCGGGTGTTTGTGGTGGGGCTGCGGAGTCGCCGATCCCGCCGGAAGCGCCAGGACAATGGGGACCCGGGACGACGAGTACGACTACCTATTCAAAGGTGCGGCCGGTGGGGCAAAGACGGGCGAAGGGGCGGCGGCAAGGCGGTGGGTAGACGGACCAAGGTGGCACTCCAGGCCCCTGGGCCCAGGCTGGATCCCGGGGCTTGAGGTCTGGCGGTCAGACGGCCAGAAAGGCTGGAGTAGGCCGGTTCTGTCACTGTGTGGTGGGAGTGCGGGACGGTGAGGAGCAGGAGGCCGGGAGAGGCCTGGGGGTTGGGGATGCGCCGGGGGCGGGGCCGGGGCCCAGTGGGGTGGGGCCCAGGGCAGTGGGAGAGGCCGTTAGGGGCGGGGCCTTCGGGGGCGGGGCGGCCTCAGGATTTGGCGGGCCGGACCGGCTTGAAACCGTATTTCGGGTTGGGGGCGGGGCCACTAGAGGTAGGGCCGGGAAGTGTGGGCGTGGTAGAAGGTAGATTGGACCTGGGCGTAAGGGGGTGGAGTTCTCGCGGCTAAGCCAGATTGGGGATAGTGGGGGCGGAGCCCCGTAGGGAAGGGGCGGACAATGGGGGCGGGGCCGAGTTGGAGGCGGGGAGATGGAGAGGAGTGGATCCCTAGATAGGAGCGCGGATCAGAGTTAGGTGGAGGGGTGCTTGTGTGTGCAGCACCAATTCGTTCCCTTAAATCTTAACAACTCTTGATAGCACTGACCCAGTACCTGCACTTTTCTGAGCACTTTATATTAATGAATTCATTTAAATCCCCACTGCCCTGTGAAGTCGATATTACCTGGCTTTTCTTTTAAATTAATAAGGGTTGGAATAGGATAGAATCCAGGCCGGTTGTGGACTTTACCACTTAAGGAATGAGTATTGGGGAACTTGCAGTCTGGATCAGGGATTTGATGTTGTCAGACTTCCTCCCCCAACATACAGTGATGACTTAGGCCCTTGTCAACCTGCAGATCTTCCCCACCTGGGGACCCAGGGCTCTAGGCATATTGTATGAGGCTTAGGCAGGTCAGGCAGCCATTGCCTGGTGAGACTCCATGTCACTGGAGTCCTTCATTTCTCAGCTGGACAGGTTTAGGGGTCATTGGCTTCTTGGCACCTTGTGTGCCACGCTGGACTTTGGCCAGATCCTCTGCTGGGCTCCCTGGCTGAAAGTGGCTGCCCTTGAGAACTACCTCCTGGGCCCATAAGGCACCTTTGCCCTGCTGCCTGCTGTTTGAGTGGCTACTAGCTATGGACATCTTCCCCTTATTGGGGGAGCCTGGCTGTACCTGGGAATGTGTTCTGTTCCTAACGGCAGCCTTGGCTGACCATGGTGTCTGTGACAGCATCTAGTATCTTGGATTTGTGGAGAATAGAACAGGTCATCTTACCTATGGGATATCCAAATATCCTTGGCAGTGGGAGAGAGTGCGCCTCTTTAAAGATCCAGAGTCATCACAGAGCACCATGATCTACTAGGGGCTGCATGCAGGCTGTGTGGTCAGCAGGTATATGGCCTCTGATCTCACTCCAAAAGCAGAGGGTAGCTTTGGAAGGTTTTTGGAGATCCGAAAGACCCTCTGGTGATAGGTGGATCAGACTCCAGTCCTGCTGCAGCATCCCCACTTAGCCCACTCTATGGCAGCTGTTCTCAGGTCCAGGTTGCACACTGACCCACATGTGGCCCTCCTGGGGCAGGGTACTTTCCTCCTAAGTTACTCTATCCAGATGTCTGTGGCCATTCCTCACTTGTTATTTTTGACCTTTTGTTGTTATAAATAACCTAGCTCTGATTGTTTGCCTGAGTTCTCTTTTTGCCCTTTGGGTTATTTCCTTGATGTGTGTTCCCATAAGTACAGTTACTGGGTCAGGGGCAGCAATGCAACAGACATGTGGTTCCCGGGACTTGTCTCCAGAGCCTGCTTCCTGGAAACACTGATCCAGCTTCTGCAGCAACTGGCTCGGGGGAGTGCCCGCCTGCCCCGCTGCCCTCCCCCACTGGCCTCCTTTCCCTGAGCAGAGCAGGTGTCTTGTTGACCTTCTCAAGCTGGATGGGAGCAAAAGTCTAACTCACAAGGTCAGCATTTCCCATTGTGCCCATCCCAGGTCTCCCCTTCACAACTTGTATCCTGTCCTGGGACCCTCTCTGTTCTATTTCAATGTTTGTCCTCAAGTCCACTTTTTTTATTATTTTTTATTTTTTTGTAGTTGTAGATGGACAGACTGTCTTTATTTTTATTTGTATGTGGTGCTAAGGATTGCACCCAGTGCCTAGCACATGCTAGGCAAGCGCTCTGCCACTGAGCTACAACCTCAGCCCCCTAGAAGTCTTGACAAAGACCAACTTTGTCACCTTGTGGCTCTCCAGCCCTGCCCGCTGTGGGGAGCCTTCCTGGAGGCAGAAGGGACAGCAGTTTCTATCCCCACTCCTGTGGCAAGCCAGCCTTCTCCTCCTTCCACCTCCCTACACTGGGCTTTAGTTGCCTTCTGCTGGCTGGGTCCCTGACAGGGGGCCACACTTTTCTTGGGACCCTGGCTGCCCTCTGTTCAAGAGGTTCCCTGTCCCCCACCTTATTTTTTGGCAGCCACATCACACGTTAGCTCCCTTGACCTCAGCAGCCAAGGCCAGCAGGTCCTGCAAGTGGCCACCATGTGCTATTTGTTTTCCTCCTTGAACATTCTCCCCCACAGGAGTGAGGTTGTTTATTTGTACCTAATTATAGATCTTCACATTATCACTCTAACATTTTATCCTCCCAGCCGTGACTATTTCCCCAGCCTGTTGATTGATCCCTGGAGGTACCCCTCACTTCTCCTCTGATGGACACTGGAATGCAGGGTCCATAGAGGGAGCAGCTGTGTCCCCAGGGGCCATTGAGGCCCTCCAGGGGTCCTTTCCCTAGAACTTCTGGCCAATCAGTGCCCCACCTGACCCTTGAGGACATGGGTCATTTGGGAAGCTGGCAGCAATGGCCCGGGCCCTCTCCTTTGGATTGTGTCCACCCCTGCTTGAGGAGGGAGGTGGTGGTCCCCAGGGAACAGGCTAACTTCAGGGCTTGCTCTTCTCTTCTGAGTGCTCCTGAGGTAGCTTGTGGCCCTCCAGCCTGGACAGGGCCCTTATCAGGCCTGCTGTTCTGGTTGCTGCTCTGGGACCCAAACACCATCTTCCCCTATTTGGATTGAAGGCCCTGCCAGTGTCCTGGCTTTGGATGCCTGTCCTCAGAGAATAGCTGAGGCAAGAATGCTTCCCATTGCCAGCCATGGGGTCCAGGATGGTCCAGGCCCTTGTCCCAGAGAAGGGGCCCTCTGAATGGCTACTCAGTCTGCCTGAGTGCCTGTCTGGGCCCCTGGGGTGCCACACTGTCACGGGGCAGGCCAGTGCATCCAGGGCTTTCAAGAGGTTCCAGCTCTTTGTTTTTGCCAACAGGGTTTGCCTGCTGGACGAGCCAAGTGACGTGTCCAGGGGGACCATTTCCCGGCCAGTGAAGCCACCAACTTCTTTGGAAATGCTGGGGGCCATGTCCTCAAGGGCTCTTTATTTCCCCAACACAACAGATCATTTGTACTCTTGACAATGCCATTTCATTGCCAGCCTGCACCCAGGGTTGGGCGCCTCAGCCATCTCTCTGCATCAGGTTCCCTGTGCCAGGGACTGCTGAGGCCATCCAGCCACTGCTCTTCACCTGGGCAGTGACTGGTTGGTCTTCATCCTGCTCTGAGTGACCTTGGACTAGGGACTTGGGCACTCTGGGGTGAGCGTCTGAGCTGTTTAGTGGGATATAGGTATTTACAGATGGTCCCTGGGAACTGGAGAAGCTGAGGTCTGCAAGGTGTTTAGGAGCCAGCCTGGCCCAGGGTGTGAGGAGCCTGTTGGCCAGGCTGGGGCGGGACTCACGGGGCCCAGGCATGAGCTGGGGCGAAGCTGGGAAGGGAGTGGGCAGTGGACAGGGCCTGAGTTTCCTTCTCCGTTCCTGAGGACACGAGGACTGCGAGGAAAACTCCTGGTCAGGCTCTTGTGGCCAGCAGGGGAGGGAGGTGAAGGGCAAGTGGTGCATACCGTGGTCCCCACAGCGAGTCCAGCCTGGCGCTGAGTGGCCTGGGCCTGGGAGCCGGTTGTTGCCCTCTGCATGGCTGCAAGCCCAGGTATGGCTCTAGCTCTCCATCTTTCTCTGATCTTGGCAGTCTTGTGCTCGGCACCCACATTCGCAAGAGGATGCTGGCACTGTTGTCACATGTCTTGTGGGCCAGGCCATGTGATGATCTGAGGGAAAGTAGAGGCCTGAATTCAGGGGTCCTGGAGGATGAGCAGGAGTTTGTCAGCTGCCCTAGAGCTGGGTGTGGTGGGAGCTGGAGAGAGGGCAGGCTGAGGTACCTGGGGCCTCAGTGTCCCACATGAGGCAGAACCAAGACTCTTGAGCCATATCCTGGGGTGGCGGTGAATAGTCAGTGAGGACATGAGCTGGGAGGGAAAGAATTCAGGCCTTGACTCAGAAGATCTGGGTTCAAATTCACCTGGTTGCTTCCTAGGTCCGCAGCCCCAGATAGGTCATTACTTGGGAGACATGGTTGGGAAGTGGGGGCAAGCCCACAGATACGCACAGGTTTAGACTCTTGTCTTATTCCTCTTACCATGTGTTTTGGGCTTGTCATTCTGTGTCTGAGCCTCAGTTTCCTCTTCTTTAAAATGGGCCACAAGACTTGTGTGGTGACACACCAGGAACTACCTCTGCACATTCTCTTGGAAGGTTCTTTTTGTTCTTGTTCTTATTATTCTTGGCTCTAAATTGTCCAGTCCAAAGAGGGTGCTGGGTCAGGTTGTGGGGAACTGCCTGATTTCCCCGTCCTCATCTCTGGCCCAAGGGTGGGACCCTGGGCGTTTTCCAGGTGTGTGGGGGAAGTCTTAGATAAGATAGTCTGCTAGGCTCTGCCAGCCTCTTTGCCATTTGTTGGTGCTTACTGTGTGCCAGACTCTGCCAGGGCCTAGAACTACAGCAGGGAACAAAACTGTCTGAGATTCCCGCTCCTGGGGCAGACTGGCAAATGTGAGAGGGTGACAAGAGTTCTGGAGGAAACGTTGGGATGGATAATGGGGAAGTTTGGCAAAGTGAGGTTTACTAGGGTGGCATGGAGGTCCTTCTGGACCAAGCGGTGTCGAGGGACCACATGAATAAATTAAGTAGGGAGCCAACATGGTGCCTGGGATGTGTGGTCAGGCAGAGGGAGAGCCCATGCAGAGGCCCTGAGGCAGGACTGAGCCTGGTGTGCTGAAGGAAGCAAGAGTACAGTGAGCAAGCTGGGTGTTGTGGTGCACACCTGTAATTCCAGCAGCTTGGGAGGCTGAGGCAGGAGGATCACAAGTTCAAAGCCAGCCTCAGCAATGGCGAGGCCCTAAGCAATTCAGTGAGACCCTGTCTATACAAAATACAAAATAGGGCTGGGGATGTGGTTTAGCGGTCGAGTGCCTCTTTTTTTTTTTTTTTTTTAAAGAGAGAGAGAGAGAGACAGAGAGAATTTTTTTTAATTATCGGCAGACACAACATCTTTGTATGTGGTGCTGAGGATCGAACCCGGGCCGCATGCACACCAGGCGAGTGCGCTACCGCTTGAGCCACATCCCCAGCCCTCGAGTGCCTCTGTTTTAATCCCTGGTACCAAAAAAAAAAAAGAGAGAGAGAGAGAGAGAGAGAGAGAGAGAAGAAACTAGTACAGTGCGCAAAGGGGAGAAAAACAGGCTAGGGTGAGCAGGGCAGGTCATGCAGGGCCTCTTGGGTCCCAGGGAGGACTTGGGCTTTACCTAAACTAAGGGAGGTGGACGGAGACTGTTGGGACTTGACTTGGGAAGGCTCATTGGCGCCCTCCTGTGACCGTGAGGAAAACAGGCTTTGGATGAGATGAGAGTGAATGCTGGGCCACCAGGGAAGGTGCTTGCTGGCTTTGCCCCTCAGGGAGAGAGGACAGTGGCTTGAACTGTGAAGGTGGTAAGAAGTGGCAGGAATCTGGAGATACCCACACAACTTTTCACCAACTATTGCATTCAGATAGAAAAGCACTCATGTGAGCGCATAGCTCAGTGTGTTTCCACCCGCTCACCCCCGCCCCAACCTGAGTAACCAGACAGATGCAGAAGCAGAACGTTGCCAGCTCCAGAAGTGCCTGTGTCGTCCTTGCCCTGGTCCTGTGTTGAAGGGGCTGCAGGAGGCAGCCTAAAGTGTGCGACAGAGAAAGGGATTGAAAGGGCTCCAGGTGTTTGGCCCAGGCACCCAAAGGCCCCAATCTCCATTAGCTGAGATAGGGAAGGCTGGGGGAGGTTTGGGGGTTATCAGGAGTTTAGCTCTGCTGCACTGGCCTTGAGGGGCCCATGAACCCCAAAGAGATGTATAGGCAGAAGGCAGGTCAGTCTGGGCCTGCAGGAAGAGAGGGGAACGTAGGAGTTGCCAGCACGTGGGCCTGGACAGGGTCACCTAGGGACCAGATGTGGACACAGAGGCCAAGCCCTAGGGCTCCCTGATGATTGCAGGCCAAGGGGGATCCTGCAGAGGAGACTGGACAGGAGCAGCTAGCTATAATATGGGGGGTGGTGTGAGGGCCTCGAGTCCCAGGAGGCTGTGGGAAGGAGGACTCATGGAGAGGTAGAGGCAGACATGTGCCCACTTCAGGTCCCAGAGGAGCTAGGAGGACAGGACCGGGAGACAGTGAGTATGGACAGTGCCTTCTAGGGGTTTGGAGCCAGAAAGGAGAAAATTAGGGTGTTGCTTACAGCAGGAAGTGGGGTCCGGAGACAATCTCAGGAGGAAGAATTACCAGCATGTGACCACAGCCGTGCACCTTGGCCCAGGGGAGCCGGACGGCCTGGTGACCTCTGGGCCCTGTTCCCTCAATGGGGCAGGACTCCCAGGAAGGGTCTGGGGTCCTCTGTGTCAGCCAGGGCTGACAGGCTCAGCCTGCATTCCTGCACCTTACCACACTCAGCAGGGCCTGTGGGCTCAGCCTCACTCTGTGGCCCGCTCATGCTCCCTCTCCTACTCTCCAGGGCTGGGATGACCAAGCCTGCAGCCCCATGACTCCACTGGGTAGACCCACCCTCAGGTGCCCGGGTCCAACGCTCACACTTGGGGCCTGGTTAGACCGCTTCTTGTTTAGCTCGAGAGCATGTGTACACACATGTGCACGCCCTGATCTTCCTTGGCAAAGAACACCCTGGGTGTGTTGAAAGCCTGCTCAGGCCCTCTTGGACCATCTCCCATGGTGCCACCCCAAAGCTTGGGCAGTTGGGTCCCTAGAGGCAGTGCTTCGATGGCTGGGTAGGACGTACTTTACAGCCCGGCTAGCCTGTGCTAGCGGGCTCTCAGGGCTCTTGCTCCCGGTGTCCTTCAGCCTGCATGAGGCAGTCCTGCTGTACATCCTGCCTTCCCTGGGGTTGGGCCTCACATCCTGGGGAGCAGTTGTGTCCCTTCTGGACACGTGTGCATGTTAATGAGCTGCCCCAGTCACAAGCAGGTGTGGGCTGGGCTGGGCGGAGACTCTCCCTCCTCTCTGGCCACCAGAGGGAGCTGAAGGAAGTTGTGTACACTTGTGAACTTGAGGACATGCACATGCACAGCCTCGAAGACCTCCCCTTGCACCAGGGACTTGGCCAAGAGCATGCTGCAGCTCAGCAGAGCTGTCCTAACATGGGGCTGACCCTTTTGTGTCGCATCCAGTGGGCACATTCCTGTTCCACATGGGGTGGTTGGTACTGGAGCTAAATGTGGGTTCGCCTGCCGCAGCTGGAACAGTACAAGCATGGCTGAGGGATGGCTTTTCATTACTCTCACTTAAAGCATCAGATGCAGACCCTCAGGTAAAATCCCTGCAGAGTCTTGATCCCTCCCGTGCCTGAACCAAAACCACCACAGTAATGACAACTGCTTACTCATGTCCCTTCCTCTGTGCTACACACTGACTGGGTCCTGACCCCAGCTGCTCTCTCTCCCTCCTCCTAAAGGGCCTATTACTGCCTACATATTCACACATGTAGAAAAGGTGGCCAGAGAGGTTAAGTGACTTGCCTAAGGCCACACAGTTCCAGAGCTTTTTCTAGTCATTCCCAGTAACTCAGCCACCAGGCTGCAGGTGGAGGTTTGAGACTTGTTAGGTTTCCATCCCCCCTGCCTATCGGGTTGCCTGGTGTGTCCCTGTGACCAGCTGGAATGGTCATCTTGAGGATGAGAGACAAGCAGAGATGCCCTGTTCCCACAGGCTGTTTCTGAAAAATGGAAGCCTCCATTCACTTCTGCATCAGTTCCTATGGTACCCATGGTGATGGGCTCCAGGCATCTCCAGCTCCTCTGTGTCACTGGCTGCCACATTTGTATGGTGCCCAGGGAGCTGCCGTGAAGGTTCTGTGGGTGGATGTGAAGGTCACATGGGGACTCAGATCCTCAATCTCCTCTTTCCCTGCCCCCAAGTGGTGCTCATCGGGGACTCAGGCGTGGGCAAGAGCAACCTGCTGTCACGCTTTACCCGCAACGAGTTCAACCTGGAGAGCAAGAGCACCATCGGTGTGGAGTTTGCCACCCGCAGCATCCAGGTGGACGGCAAGACCATCAAGGCGCAGATCTGGGACACAGCCGGCCAGGAGCGCTACCGTGCCATCACTTCTGCGTGCGTGTTGGGCTGGGGCCTGGACATAGCATGGGCATGTAGAATGTGGGCATGCAAGGGTGTGTAGGAGTTGGGTGAGAGAAGGGGTAAGCTCCAGAGATCAGGGACACCCTGGACACTGCCCTCAGATGCCCCCAAGAACTGTAGGACTTTCAGCAGACTGGTGTCCAGCCTTGACCACCCTTTGATACTGGGTTTACTGCTGGCGGCACAGTGAGAGTCTGGCTTGGACCACTCCACTGTGTCCTCACCCTAGTGCTGCCCACTCAGCTGGTCCTGCCTGGCCACCTTCTCCGTCTTCCTGAGGCCTAATGGCCATCCAGGCTCATTCAGGCTGGGTGTGATGGTCATGCCTGTTACCCAGCTACTAGGGATGCTGAGGCAGGATGGTTCCAAATTCCAACCCAGCCTGAACAACTGAGCCTGTCTCAAAATAAAGAACAAAAGGGGCCAGGCATGGTGGTGCGTGCCCGTAATCCCAGTGGCTCAGGAGGCGGAGGCAGGAGGATCACTAGTTCAAAACCAGCCTCAGCAACAGCGAGGTGCTAAAGTAAAAAGAACATTAAAAAGAAAGACCCACCAGGTTGCCTCTTCCTGGCCCCTCCCAGCCCCCTGCGGTTCCCTGCACCCTCACTCCTTCCATCCCTCACTGTCCTCTGGACTCCCTTCACATAGCTTTGTCACTTCCCCATCCTTTGTCCTCCAGGCACCCACGAGTCCCTCCTCTCCATGGTCCAGCCTGTGGGCATCAGAGTACTTGCCCGGCAGTGGCTCTTTCCTGCACCATGGCTCCTTCCTTCTTCCCTTTTGTCGGTGACCTCATTGTTTCCTCTAACACCAGACCCCCAACTTCCTCCCCAAGTCCCCACGTCCTGAGCTGAATCTGGGGGACAGAGCTGGGGCCTCAAGACCTAGGACCCTCAAGGTCAAGATGGCTGCCCCTCGGCTGGGCCCTGTACACAAACTGAAAAGCCACTGCTTGCCCGGGTTCCTGAGACCACTGCTGTCCATGGAGCCCGTGGCTCAGCTGGACCTGCCCCACAGGTACTACCGCGGCGCAGTGGGCGCGCTGCTGGTGTATGACATCGCCAAGCATCTTACCTATGAGAACGTGGAGCGCTGGCTGAAGGAGTTGCGGGACCACGCGGACAGCAACATTGTCATCATGCTGGTGGGCAACAAGAGCGACCTGCGCCACCTGCGAGCCGTGCCCACTGATGAGGCCCGTGCCTTTGCAGGTAAGGCATACTGGGGAGTGGCAGGGCCATGCCCAAGAGGGGCTGAGACTCAGGCTTCATAGGCATCTGGAAGGCAGGCAGTCCCATGTGTTGACTTCCATGTCACAGCCCTGTCCTCACCTCCCTGAGGAGTGGACCTCTTGGTCCTGTCTGCTCAGGACCAGCCCGTCACGTCCCAGGCCAGGCAGTTGTTAGGCAGGTCTCCGGGGAGCCAGACGTACACACCCACTTACCCAGGCAGTATTCTCTCTGTTCCAGAAAAGAACAACTTGTCCTTCATTGAGACCTCAGCCTTGGATTCCACCAACGTAGAGGAAGCATTCAAGAACATCCTCACAGGTGGGCCTGGGGCTAGGTGGGCTCAGGGAGGCCGCTGGCCGTGCGGGTGCAATGCAGCCCCTGGGCCTTCGCTTTGTAACCTGCTCGTCAGTCTGGACCTGAGGACAGATGTGGCACGTTCTGTGGGATCAGGTCCTTGCTAGCACACAGGACACAGACTCCCTTGCTCAGTTCCCCTGAGTGGGTCCTGTTGGGGCCAGCAGAGGGGGCAGTGGCCTTCCAGACCTCCTTGGCTCCTAGGAGTTTGTTTGAGAGGGCAGGGGAGGGCTCTGATGTCTGGAAACAGGAGCCTGGGCTGGCTGTTACCCAGCACTGGGTCAGCTGGCAGGAGTCCCCGGAGCCCAGCTCTTGTCACTGTTACCCTTGTGTGATGGAACACACAGGGCACAGTGGGGGCCTTCGAGGGGACAGTGAGCCTGAGTCCTTCAGGGAGGCGGTTGCCTTGGACAGACGCCCGTGGCGCATTCACTCTGCATCCTCCCTATTGCAGAAATTTACCGCATTGTGTCGCAGAAGCAAATCGCCGACCGTGCAGCCCATGACGAGTCCCCCGGCAACAACGTAGTGGACATCAGTGTGCCGCCCACCACGGACGGACAGAAACCCAACAAGCTGCAGTGCTGCCAGAACCTGTGACCGCCCTCCGCCACCACCCCAGCGTGCGTGCACGTCCTCATCCTCAGCCTGCTCCTCACCACGTCCTCCCGCCCCTCTCCCGGTCCTCTGTGACCAGCTCAGTCCCACCCTCCAAGTGAGCTCTGCACGCCAGCCAGAGCCCAAGAAGAGCAGGAGTCGGGTGGCACCTCCCATCCTGCCCGAGGAAGCCTAGAAGTCCCTGCTTGCTGCACCTGCTCTCCTCGGGTCCCTGTGGGCGTCTTGGCAGGGTGGGGAGGTTGGCAGGATGGACAGGGCCGGCCGGAGGCAAGGAGGACCAGTGGATGGAGCCGACTTCTCTTTCCCACAGCAGACTCCAGGGAGCCGTCACCTCCCTCCCGATCTGGCCAGTTGGCCTCTCATCCCTACCCAGAACCCCCCTTGGGCTACTGGAAGAGCTTGGCAGCGCAGACTGGGCAGGCAGACGCTCCCAGCTCTCGGCCTCCTGCCTGCTCCTCCTGCACAGCCAGCGCCAGCACGGCACTACCACTCTGGGCGCGCGACTCCAGCTCCCGCCTGTAGATTTACACTGGGAGGAGACCCTCGCCTTCTCACCCTCCTCTTGCACGCAGCGCGCTCTCCCCCACTGCCCGTCCTCCCTTCTGTCTTGTCTCCCTGTCTGGTCAGGAACCTGTTTGCAAGTGAAGCAATATCTCCGTGTTTTGTATATACAACCGCTCTTGTAGCCTTTGGTTTTTGTTATTGTAGAGAAACACAGATTCTTTATACACTTTGTAAGATTTACGCCAAACCCCAGCTCTCGATCTCTTATTCTCCCTGTGGCCCCTGCACTGTTGCCCGATACTAAATGTATAAGCCGACTTCCTGTACAGAAACCTGCCACTGCGCCTCTGTCTTCTTTCTCTCCGCCAGGCAGCACTGCTGAGCGAGCCAAGGTCGCTTCGCGTCCCCCATGGCAGGCTGGACTTCCCTGGCTCAACTCATGGGGAGCTTAGGAGACCAGGCCTGAACCCTGGGGGGCTGTTGGGCCCAGTACCTGCAAGGGCAGTTTGGAGGCTCACGTGGCCATCAGTCCTGGAGTAGGGTGAGCCTCCTCTCGGCTGCCCCTGTAGCAGGGAGGAAGGCTGGGGGCCATGGCCCATGGCGGGTAGCTTTCACTGGAAACTCTATGACTGCCAGACGGGAGGGCCCACGGCGCCCTCTAGTGGGGATGAGGGGGTGGCCACGCCCACTGCTCACCCTTTCCATCTACTACCCACTGCTACCATCTCACTTGGGGTCCTGGCGGGGGCTTTGGGTGGTAGATATTGGGTGACTTCAGCTCTACCCAGCTCTCCGCCTCAGACTGACACTTGAGAAAGGCCAGATGGGAACACTGGCAGAGGCAAAGTGGGCGGCTCGAGGTCCTCTGCCTGTTCCCAGGATGCTGCTTTTCCCTGGACCACATGGGCGGGGCTTGCATAATGAGGAGACCTGACCCTCCACTCAACTCCTACAGGGACTTTGAGACCTAATGTGTGTCCCCCCTCTTCTGAGGACTGGGAGCTGTTCCAGAAGCTCCAGCCTCTGGTTGAAGAGGCCACTCATGCCCTGAATATCTTGGAGGCCCATCCTCTTGGTTGCAGGCTTGGGCCTCCTTCCCTGGAGGACAAGCAGTCCCAGACACATCTCTGGAGAAGAGGTCCTACGTGGGAATGAGCCTGGTGTGTATGACGATGGGCTAGCAGCCAGGGTTAAGGCTGACAATGGAGTTGGGAGTCTGGGGGACATGGGCAGCCAGACATCATGTGCTCTAGGACCCCATCCACACTGACCCCAAGGCTCTGACAGCCCTGGGTTGGGGCAGGATAGTGTGGAGCATGTGAGAAACAGGGGCTTCAGGGAGCCAGGTGAAGAGGTAGGGCACCCTTGAAAGATTTCCAGCAGTCATAAAGATCAATTATTTCTGGAGCCCCGATATTTGCAAAGCCCAGAGCTGTTGGGAACCACAGGCCACAGATGCTGTTTTAAACACCCTGATTTCATATCAGACTCCCTGGTACCAAGTCCTTTTCTTAAGTCTTTTATAATTATGGAAAATGTCCATAACATAAAATTGACTATTAACCATTTTAGATCCACAGTTCCATGACATTAAATACATTCACATTGTCCTGCAAAGAGCACCAGCTATCTCCAGAACATTCATTCCCATCTTCCTAAACTGAAATCTGTCCCCATTAAACACCGACATCCCCTCCCCCTCCCCAGCCCCTGGCACCCACCATTCTCCTTACAGTCTGTGGGATCTTATGCATCTAGGGACCTCCTATGCGTGGAATCATGCCATATTTGTTCTCTTGTGACTGCTTTATTTCACTGAGCATGAGGTCATCGAGGTCATCCTGTTGTGGCCTGTGTCTGAATTTTGAACTTCCTTCCTTTTTAAGACTGAATCTTTGTGTGAATATACCACATAGAGTTCTCTATTTATCCATTTGAGTTGCTTCTACTTTTATTTTTTATTTTTTCTTATACTGGGGATTAAGCTCAAGAATGCTCTGCCAATGAGCTATACCCCAGCCCTTTATATTTCTTATTTTGAGACAGGCTCTCAGGCTAGGCATGGTAGCACACGCCTGTAGTAATCCCAGTGGCTCGGGAGGCTGAGGCAGGAGGATCAGGAGTTCAAAGCCAGCCTCAGCAACAGTGAGGCACTAAGCAACTCAGTGAGACCCTGTCTCTAAATAAAATACAAAATAGGGCTGGCGATGTGGCTCAGTGGTTGAGTGCTTTTGAGTTCAATTCCTGTACCCCAGCACCCCAAAAAGAGAGAGGATCTCTCTAGATAGTCAAGGCTGTCCTCCAACCTGCAATCCTTCTGCCTCTGCCTCCTAAATCGTGGATTATGGGAGTGCACCGCCATGCCCAGCTGCTTCCACCTTTTTGCTAGCGTGAATAATGCTGCTATGAACATGGGTTTACAAATATCTGAGTCTTTGATTTTAACTCTTTTGTGTATATATACAATTGCTGGGGCATATGGTAATTCAGTTTGTTTTTTTAGGAACTAAATTAAGTCTATTATTGCACATTGTTATTTGGTATTCACAACGATCCTAGGAGGTGGACATAAATACTAGCTTCATTTTACAGATAAGGAACAGGAATAGTGAGTGATTCACTCAAGGTCCTACAGTTGAGATGCAAGCAGATTTCACACCTGGAGTTGTGTGTGTAACCATCAGGTTATGGACCTCTCCGATGGTTGATTAAGGGCATGCTACGAGCCAGAAAGCTTAAGTGAATTAAATGTTCAGGTAAAGACTGGGAAGAGGGGCTGGGGTTGTTGCTCAGTGGTAGAGCACTTGCCTAGCACATGTGAGGCACTGGGTTTGATTCTCAGCACCACATAAAAAAAATAAAATAGGGGCTGTGGTTGTGGCTCAGCGGTAGAGCGCTCGCCTAGCATGTGCAAGACCCTGGGTTCGATCCTCAGCACCACATAAAAATAAAATAAAGATATTGTGTCAACTACAACTAAAAATATATAAAATAAAATAAAGATATTGTGTCCATCTGCAACTAACAATATTGAAAAAAAGAAAAAGACTTGGAGGAAGTATAGTGATTTCTCAGTACTCACAGAAGAAGAAACCAAACACTGAAGATGCTCTGGACCTTAAGTAGAATGGGGTGGTATTTACACAGAACCTTTTATGTACTTTTTTTTTTTTTTTGCTGGTGGTGGTGGTGGGTGTTGCTGGGAATTAACCCAGGGCCTTGCATATATTAAGTAAGCTACCACAGAGCCACACCCCAGCCCCATTCACTGTGTGTGTGTGTGTGTGTGTGTGTGTTACTGGGATTGAACCCAGGAACATTCTCCACTGAGCTACAAGCCTAGCTACCCCCACTCTTTTTAAAATTTTATTTTCAGGCAGGGTCTTGAACTTAGCATTTTCCTGCCTCAGCCTCTGGCTGCTGGGGTTACAGGCATACCCAGCCCGAGCCCTTTGTTTTTTGAGACAGGGTTGCACTAAGTAGCTGGTTGGCCTTAAACTTGTAGCCTCCTGCCTTAGCCTCCTGAGTTGCTGGATTACAGGCATCACCAGCACGTCTTGCTCTAGTCAGTGGTTTTCAGTATGCTCAGGATGCTGTGCTAGCTCCACCATATCGAATTCCAGCACTTTCTCACCACTCCAGAAGAAACAGCATCCATTCCATGAAGAGTTGCTCCTCATCTGCCCCTTCCCAGCAAGCACTCAATCTGCTCCATCTGCAGGGACCATGGTGTCATTTATCATCTGTCTTTCAAGAAACTTGAAGCTAGAAGCTTGATCAGACTCAGGGTGGGGCACTTCATAGGTTGGGTGATGCATGTACACTAGGAGGCACATAATGTCAGTGCATCTCTTGTGCTGTTAGCAGCTGCTGATAAGCATTACTAGGATTCATAATTCATTGGTAGTTACAAAATGGTTGTATTAGAATCCTATCCATTTTTTTATGTACTCTGATTCCTCATCCACTATGTTGGTGACCTTGAGATACAGTGTATGCAAATCTGCATAAAGATTTAACTCTTTCCTTTGTTCATCAGCTTTCAAATTTCATGATTTTCTTTTTTTTTTTTTTTTTTTTTTTGTTGTTGATGGACAGAATGCCTTTTTAATTTTTTTTTTTTTATTTTTATGTGGTGCTGAGGATTGAACCCAGTGCCTTATGCACTCTAGACAAGTGCTTTGCCACTGAGCTACAGCCCCAACCCATCAAATTTCATGATTTTCAAGACTTTGAGTAGCCTCCCAAAGTGACTGACTACTTAGGTTTTTTAAAGATAAAATGTATGTTTGCCAGTCAATGAATGGAACTGAAGGCTATCATGCTAAGTGAAATAAGCCAATCACAAAAAAATCAAAGGCCAATTGTTTTCTCTGATATGTGGATGCTGACACACAATAGGCAGAGGTGGGTGTGGAGGTGAAGGTTCACCAGATTGGATGGGGGAATGCGGATAAAGGAGGGGAGATGGGAATGGGAAAGACAGTAGAATGAATTGGACATAACTCTCCTATGTTCATATATGACAGTCTATATATATGAATTACACGACCAGTTTAATTCCACATCCCGTACAACCACAAGAATAGGAGGTTATACTCCATGTATATATGATATTCAAAATACGTTCTACTGTCCTGTATTAAAAAAATTTTAAAAATGCATGGTTTAATCCCCTTTGTGGGGTCAAGCTTCCAACTGGTGTGTCCCATGGGGACTAGAGTGGCATCAGAGGCTGTACATCTAGGGCTGAGTCTTGGCAAGTGCTAAGGTGTAACATCTGAAATTCACAAATTGGCTACTTGGGCTGGGGATGTGGCTCAAGTGGTAGCGTGCTCACCTACCATGCGTGAGGCACTGGGTTCCATTCTCAGCACCACGTAAAAATAAAAAATAAAGATATAAAAAAATTGTCTCATCTTAAAAAAAAATTGGCAACTTAATCCCCAAAGTCATATATTAATATTGTTGGGAGGTGAGGAGCTCACTATAATTAGATGAGGTCATTAGGGTGGTGATAATTCTGTGATGACTTTAGTGGGTTCATAAGCAGAGGAAGAGAGACTCAGGACAGCATACAGGGTTTATTACCACGTTAAGCCCTCTGCCATGTTATGATTCAGCAAGAAGGCCCTCACCAGATGCTAGCCCATGCTCTTGAACTTCCCAGTCTGAAGAACTGTAAGCTAAATAAACCTCTATTCTTGGTCTGGGGATATAGCTCAGTTGGTAGAGTGCTTCACAAAGCCCTGGATTCAATCCCCAGCAGTACAAAAAAAAAAAAAAAAAAAGACAGGGTAGGCTGGGTACAGTGGCACATGCCTGTAATCCCAGGGG